AATTGATTTTAAGAGATAGAGAAAGGATATGACTCCGGAAACTAGGAAACACCAAGTGTATAGCTTCCTCTCAGTAAAGCTATTAACCTGCAGGAATCACCAAAAGACGCTGTTCAGGATTGTAGGGTACAATAATCCCATGGCTTGCAGTGTGAAAAATTACAGTTCTGATTCAATACCAGGAATTCAAGAATGAATACTGAGAAAGCACCAGTGGCTAGAATTTTCACAAAGTAATTGATTCTTCTTCCATATAAATCTTTCCATAATGCTTTGATGAACCAATATTCACTAAATATTTGTGTCCATAGAAATACTGTCATTGACGTGTATGTGTGGTAAAGAGGAGGAGAACGCTCCATAAACAGTACTATACTAAGTAGTCCCAGAAAAAGGCATCCACAAAGTTGTACCTACAGAAAATAATGAGATTTATGGGTTACATTACAGGGTGAATATTAACACTTCTAGATGTTCAAATTTCATATATAATATAGTCACAAACGTCTTTTATTTTTTATTTTTTATTTTTTTTTAACAAAAAACATAGGTTTTTTTAGAATTACGTCCTTCAATTTAGAAATCGCTATCAAAGCTTACAAGAGGTCAAGCTTACACAAACATTACTTTTCTGGTATTATCTGTCCGGTGATCTGCTTGCTCCTTTCTAAACATATACCCTGCCAATGAAGTATAAGATTGCAACACATGGAGAAGAATATAGGTCATCCAACCGATATACCCAAGAATAATTACTGTCATGAGCATCAGCCAATCGTAAGTTTGGAAATAGTGTAGTCCTTTCAAAGCCAAATCCCTGAGATCTTCAGACAGCTTCCTTGCAGCTTCATAGTCTGTATTAGATATTAGATCCTCAATCTGATCCAATAGGGAGGAATAATCGGCCAGTGGTTTGAAAGGCTTAAAATTTAATGAATTTGCCTCCTTTGTTTCTAATTTTGTCAAGAAATCCAAGATCAATAAAAAGGACGTGTCTACCTCCTTTCGCTCCTCAAAACTCCAGTAGAATCAGATATAACAACAGTTTTAAACTTAATATGCTATTTCATTAAACGAATTGGATATGTTATGATTAAAGGAAGTGATGCCTTGTTGTCATCTATAGCGCATAAATATGTGTGTGTGTGTGTGTGTGTGTGTGTGTAATCAGATAACAAAAGGATACGTGACTTCCTAAGAAACTGGTTGAGAATTTGCTTTGAGTTTGCAACCACAGCTTCAGCTTCATCTTCCTGGAAAATTAAACGAAAAGAGAAAATTCAGCTGTCTACCAAATAACCAGAAAACTCATCGAATAGAATATGCATATGCAGGCAAAGATAAAAGTGATAACATTTTACATCCTTTACAACGAAAAGATAAAGTCGTCAATCAAACTGGTTGACTATACCTTTGTCATGTCTATGTAATCAAGAGGTAAACTTCCAACTGAGTTTACAGGACCAGGCAAACCAAGAAGAGTTGACTGCCAGAAAACTCAATCAGCAAATAAGAGTGATTAAACTTGAAAGGTAGTTTAAAGGGGAAAAAAGTTGGGAAAGCAAATTGTACAACCATGAGAGGTGCAATATCAGCTTGATTAACATCCACCCTTTCAATGCCATGAAGGCCCCATTCTTTAGGTGTTGGCGCATCATGCATATGATCATCAACAAAACGAAAACTGCAATCAGAATGGTTGGAGACTGGCTTGGGATGTTTAACACCTGCTCCCCAAACAACTAGGGGAGTATCAGTGTTTGAAGGATGTCCATCTCCATGGCTGCCTATCAGTAAAATTATAACACGTAAGAACTGTTACAAGGGGGAAAAAATGATGAAGATAAAAACTTATAACAATTCAGTGAAAAAAGAAGAGCAAAAAATTTCTATATAAGTGAATGAATTAATTCCAACCTTTATCATGCATTCCATGATCAGCGGTAAATACATATGCAGTACAATTGTCCTTGTAATAATCTTCAAGAAGATTATAAACCCTTTCAGCTATACTGTCAACAACCGCAACATTATTGAGATATATGGACGAAAAGGGCCTATGCGCATGACCATTTGAATCACAGCCAAGTAAGTGCAAAAACACAACAAGATTATCCTGTAAGAGTAACTCCTTCAACTTCTGGTCTTCTTTGGACCGATTCAGAAGGCTCTGAAATTGATCAAAAGACCACTCATCCAGAAAGGAAGCATCTGCATTAACACATACATATTGATAAAAGAAAGCATCATACGCAATTACCAAATATTTAAACTTCACCAGTAGCAATGTGCTAAAAGACTGAAAACAATCCAGTAAACCGAAAACGAAAACAGACATAACAAGTTGTAACTGAAACAATGTGATGAAAGTTTGAAATCAAACCAGTAGCAAAGTCTTCAAATTCATGAGGGTAACTATTCCAGGTGCTGTGAGGCAATGCAGCGCAGAAAATCGGAACTATATCCGGACTACCATAAGAAAAAGTATGCCGGCTTCGATTAAAAACCGAATCGAATTCAACAGGGTTAGCTTTCCACCCTGAAAACACGATTTGGGTTTCTTCAGGAAGCCAAATTTCATCTGTATAAATGCTGAAAAAATTAAAAAATTAAAAAAAAAGATTAAACCTTTCGTAACAGCACTGGGATCCTCATAGAACCCAGCAATGATAGCAACATGTCCAGGCCTCGACTCCGTCGGCGGACGAGCGTGCGACACTCCCCACCGACCTTTCTCTCTCATAACACTTCTCAAAAACGGTGCTCTGAAGTTCCCGTCGGAATCCGACTCGAAGAATTTGTCGGCTCGCAGCCCATCAGCTGCAGCAGAAGCTCCAAACTTTCATAGCACACTCGAATAAGAAGACAGAGGAATTTTACCGGGAAAATTGGACGTACCGACGAGCAAAACGAGGCGTTTTGCAGGAGCGGAGAAGCGGGGGGTGACGGGATCCATGCCGTGGACAATGGGGGACTTGAAGTAGATGTCAAAGATGCTGAGCATGTAAACAGCGTGGAGAACTACGCCCAGTACTACCAGCCATTTCTCTTTTCTCTTCAGCCATATCCGTCGTCTTCTCCGCGTGCTTGCTATGGCGTTGCTTCCTTCCGCCGCATCTCTGCCGTCCGCCATTTTAACTCCGCCAATTTTCTTCCCGATCGTCACAGTCGTTGTTCAACACTTTCGCTCCTTTTTTCTCTTTCTTGCAGTCTTACTCTTCTTTCAGGAAATATTGTGGGCCCATTGGGCCTATATTTTAGGAGATGATATTGTTGAATGGGCCGAGGCCTAGAAGCTCAGTGTCAGAATGTGTAATATTAATTTTCTTTTTTGTCAAACCATAGATTTTTTATATTAAATGTTAGATTAGGAAGCCGACAGAGTTTGAACTTACGCAGTGGTGTAATATTATTTAGGACAATGTTATCCACACACTCCTTTTTACTTCTCGCACCTCTTCTTAATTTTCGGCCTTTAGATCGAATGAATTGGAGAATATCAAAGGGAAAAAATTAACAAATGGTGTGTGAAAAATAAAAATGAGTACGTGGATAGCACCACCTTATTATTTATTTTTGGATTATCATGAATTATTTGATTTTATAGTTAATTTAGTCAAATTTGGAAAGTTTGGGGAGGAATTTCAGCTGAGCTACTACCTAACTTTGGCTAACTTGTGCTGCTTCCCTACATTGAAGGAGAGAAAATGCCTTCTTATTCTCCTCTGCCGTTGTCTTTTGCGACACAAATGATCTGCTACAAACCGATTTCTAAACTACTTTAATTTGGAAACCAGAAAATTTAATACAAAAGGGTGAAACGTCATACGTTCAATTAGCAGAAGCTACATCTTTTGTTTGTTGAGAGCTTTATTTGAAAGCATATATTTTCATTTTTCAGCTTTTATTTTTTGCAAAGCATGCATTAATAAATTATTTACGATAATGAATGGCCTCAATATTTCATAGTATGAGTAGACGATGAGTTTATACTTTAATGTTATATCCATAAGGTTTTCATTGATTATGCCACACCATGTACTAACACGACACAATAATAATACAATCTTTCTCGTGATCGAGTGGAATGTTGCAACAAATTAAGGGAAAACCATATATATGAAATATCCAAGCAAAGCTGTTACAACTTACAAGCACTATTAATACAGAACTTAACCATGTATATGACATATTTGGGGATTGGCATGCACATCATAAGAGCCAACAGCAACCAAACATGATATTCTAGCCTAATCCAAAAGGCTTAGCGTACATATTGTACTAATCAAAAGAGATAAATTATGAACCCCAAAAAACCAATCAGCATTGACACTGGAAATGCTGTAATTAGAGCAGTTGGTGCTGCGGATGGGGCAGGGGCTGGAGTGCTAACTTCTGCAGAAACAGTCAGCACCAAGCTAGCAATTGCAACCCAAACGAACAACATGGCTGCAACCTTGTGATTCTGGAAAGCCATTTTGTATATACTGTTGATGCACGAAAGTTGGACCAACAAAGAGTCGATAATTGGTTTTGCATTTGTTGTACTTGTTCTCACCTATTTATGCATGCAATTTCGTAGATTCTTCTGTGTGTACTTATGTATGTGTTACTTTCATTGGAGCTGATTTCAATGAAACAATTCTTGTTCTTTTGGATAAAACAAGCACCAGATTGCAGATGAGACTTGTACCAATGTGTTTAGCTGGACTGCAAGGGTGACGATCCCAAAGAGTGCTAAAACTAAAGATAAATGCTAATATGTTTAGCTGGACTGCGAGGGACTCTTAAAGTGAAACTTTTCATGGATTCTTTATCATCTTACAGTTTAACGTCAATTCTCATGTCAAGATTATAAAACATAAGAAAGCATAGAGTCCATGAAGAGTCCTTTGGAATATCTCAAATCTAAAACCATACAATCCATATATTTAATTAAAAGGATGTATTATTTATTCATAGACTTCATTAATTGTTATACTAAGTTTATGCCATTGACATTGGACAATTGAATATAATTCTACTATTGAAGTTTCGAAGTTTAAACGAACAATAATTACTATTGAAATATGGGACGCGTAGGCCATATAAATACCATATATATATAATTATATATATTGGCCTTTTATTTTTTGTCCTTTACGATCAATCCTCATAATACTTAATAATTATCTCGACTTCATGCTTAATTAGTTGATTAATTACAAGATTAATATATAGGTCAAGGGCACTTGTGTCCGTGATACTGTATATCAGTACTATAGCATTTGCCACACTTGTCCATGTTGGTGCCGTAGTCTCCCGGCGGAACACATTTGCAGCGGGCACAGCATAACATGCACGATTTCCTGCAGATCTTCTTGTTCTTTTCGATTTTGCACCTCACGTCACACAACTTGAAGCAATCTCCAAGCCCACAGAATTTTTTGTAGTTAATCAGCAACCACACATATAGTATTTAATATTAATTGAATATATATATATATATATATATATATTATTCACATTAATCATGAAACTAGAGTTACGTGTATATATATACCTGAGCTGGTATTCGCCGATGGTGGTGGAGTTGCATCGGAAGTGGGTGGCGTGGCCTCCATTACTATGGGAGCCTCCGGTTTATACAGTGGACGTTTTGGTTGATATGGATCCCTGAATGCTGGGCTCCAAAATGGAATGCGTGGATATATCCAAATATTAAATAAACTACGGCGTTCACTCTGATTCTGTTCGTAATTAAAATTAGTAATGTATAAGCTAATATGATCAACGGAACAGGACAGTAAAGTGCACTTAAATAATCAACAATATGGTTTTAAAATAAAGATATACATGATTAATACCTTTATCTTGAGTTCCTGATCATGAGTAGATGAGACCTAGAAAGTTACAGTATCATTGAATATTTCAGAAACATAAGAAAAATTAAAGATATAACATGTAAAGAAATCATCATGCAAATTTTCCATTCATAATTAAATACCTTTGTAGTAAGTAAGAGAATGGAGGCAAACAGAAGGATCACAGCTTTGAAATCCATATTAATTGTATAGATATTCAGTAGCTGAGACCGATTACTCTAGCTAGCATAACTAGAATGTGGTATAAATAGTGTTGAAATTAGGTACAGAGATGGATTTTCGAAGGTTATTAGCTTTTAGAGAATTAAAAGGAAATGATTTTAGTGTTGAAGAATTATTCAATCTCACATCAGAAAACTTGACATAGTATATTATTACCCTAAATGAATGGTTCCACTACAAATAGCGCTAAGGCTTTTTATGATAAAAACCAACACCTAAAGGTAAAGAACTGTGATGTGATAACATTTGAACAATGTATCAGTGTGATTAGCACTGAAATTTTAATGTTTCACACACCATTTTTCTCTTTTGCACCACTCTTATTTAGTTTGTTTTTTATTCAATTTTAAAGCCAAAAAACAAAAAACAAGGAACGTGCCTAAAGAAAAAAACGAATGCATGGAAATCACATGTGACAGCTTCACCCGATCAGTGAGACATAAGTAATGGCCTTGCTGTCCAATTTCTGACTTTAGAGTCCAAACCTTCCTTCACCAAGGACCGTGGCCATGCAGTAAACTACTATATATCCATTTCTCATCAGTCTTCACAGTATGTCCTTTCACACGAGGTTTGTCTTACCAAAGTTGCAAGACAAAGCTAATGAAGTTTCATGAATTCGTAGTTCGTATTACTTGCATCTCAGACCAACCTGGTTTGGACTTCGCTTTTTTTTTTTTTTACAAAAATATTTATATTATTAAGGAAGGAAAGAGGATTCAGAACTGTTACATTAATTTATTTATATTATACATATTGACTTGCAAATTAAGAGAAGTTACACATCTCTTATGATTGATTTGTATATGAAGAATGCTTTCTTGCATATAGGTATAAGGGGGGTGTATTGTATACAGTGTGATGGAGTTTCATAGAGTTATGAACACATGGATTTTGAGAGAGTTACTTGACTTCTGTAGGATTCATGCATATTTTAATTGAATTACACAAGGATTTTAAAAGAGTTTGTGAGACTTTTATCATGAACTTTAATAGAATTATACGGATTGTTATAGACAACAATTTATAATATGTTTTTTTTTTAATATTTGAAATAGTGATTATGACCATGATAAAGTGGTCGTATAAGGTTGTGATGGCAATGATGAAATATTTTTGTTTTTGGGTGTGTGTTTTAAGTCGAAAGATGCTAGCTTTCGTAAGAACTGTGGATGGAACTTTATACCGAAGGAATAAATTTTTTTGCCTACAATGACATTATTTCACTATTTTGATTTAATATCAAGAACCCTACTCACCATCTTCACTAGACAACTGATGCAAAATCAAGGGATTAATTCTTATTTTATAGTCTATTATATTTTTTATTTATTTTCCATACTTACTTATTAGACAAGGAAATTAAGTATTTTTATTATGTGTTATTCCTTGTTAAGGCTCTAGGTTATTTTCTCTATTTTTTAAGCACAATGTAATATAGGGTTCAGGATACTTTTAGAATATTATTATAGAATATTGCTCTTTGAGCGGTATGGGTTCCTAGCGTTTTATCTCTTTCTCGTGTGTCCGTGTGGTTGCTGTTGATGTGTGCCCTTCCGAATCTGCATCAGTTGGTATCAGGGACAATTGTATGTGGAGTGGAATACGTGGAGTGGAATTTCATTGCTTACAACATGTGATATCAGGGACAAACAGATAGAAGTTCATCAACATGGTTACTAAATAAAGTTGAGGTTCCACCATAAAAAAACTAATTGGCAATATGTGGAGTAGTCCAACTTACTTATAAGCCTATGCAAGGTCGGACTCATTCTCAAGAGTTACCCGTGTGACATGGAAGAGATTAAGAGAATGCTTTGGCAGCTTAACAAACAAATCTCTCACATCGAAAATCAACGAAAGATGTTGTGGTTGTCGACGGGGAGGGAGGCGTTTGTTCCCAACATGTTACTCGCATCGAAACTCCAAGTCAAGATCTCGTGGCTTCCGACGGAGAGGGGGACATTGTTGACCTCTAAGTGAGTGGGCTCCGTTGCGTGAGGTGGCTGAAGGACATTTTGATTGCGGGTTTTACAACCTTTTTCACACTACTACAAAACCATTTATTAGTGTCGCTATCATAACCGACAAAAAACATATATTACTGTCGGATATTAAGCAAAATCCAACAGAAAATGGATGCAGTGACGGATATCATAAGCGACAGAATTGCTAGCGTCAGAAAATACTCTAAAACCAACAGAAATTGTGTCGGATATAACCGACAGAGCACTATCTGTCGGATAAAACTGACAGAAAATACTATAAAACCGACATAACTTAGGCATGTTGGAACCGACAGAAATTTTATAATATCCGCTAGTAATTATCCGTCAGAAATTTATGTCAGATATAACCGACATGATTTTTCTAATATCCATCACTAATTAAATAATGTGTCGGATATAATTTATCCGACAGTATTTTTCTAAATCCGTCACTATCATCCGCCACCTAAAGCTAATATTGTAGTAGTGATACCCTTCCAGTACTCTCCCTTTAACATTTCCTCATCCAATATGTTGCAAATATAATGCAGTATATGCATGCAATCCTTTGTACTTGATACCAAAGCATCGCTTCATGATGCCGTTCTCCTCATTTACTATTTAATTTGCCAATGCTTCAAGTTATATTATAATTGAAATCGATTTACCTAATTATGTAATAAAAATATGTCGTTCATTTGTATGTTTGTCGTTCATTTGTATGTTTTGTTATCTCAAATATCAAGGATATATAAGAACCAGAAAGCTATAACTGAGGAGAGATGCCAGGATCCAACATGCCTAATGTATTTAAATCATACCAGCAGTAACATGATCATGCATGGTTGCGCTCCGTGGTGGAGTCAACTGAAGGAGATTTTTGTTCAGAATTTTACAACAAAAGCGGCACCACACATGATCAGTTTCAATTATTTTAATTCGAGTTGCCTGGTTGATAATTATGAGGAATCAAATTTATTGAATTAAATCTACCTCCGAAGTTTGATCTTTGTTTGGATGATTGTGAAACTTGTTGTAATCGTGTTTTGGAATTTGTAACACAAGAAATGTTAATGAGACACTCTGCCATCTCATAATTTTTGCATAATGATTTTAATGTTGGTTCAAAAATTGACGTTAAAATATGATGTGTCACATAGTCTATGGAGAGTCCCACTTTAAAAAAATTCTCATAGCATTTCTCTGAATCTGGTGAGGAGTTGTTCGATGAGGTTGACACAATTTGGTCAACACCAATGTTAGAGAAGAAGATGATGAACAAATAACCAGGGCAAAATGCCAAAAATAGTATTCATGATATTACTTTTGAATGTATTGATTTTATTGGGATTAATGCGTTTAATTGGAAGCTTCCCAAGATTTAGCTGATCAAATAAATCAAATGAAGATTTGCTCGAAGAAATTATGTTACATCGAATTGGAAAGTCGAGGATTTCAAGATACTCCAAATATCTCTTTGGTTGGATGGGAAGAATTCAACTTCAAGATTATAACGGAGTCAACGAAGACTTAGACTCGAGAATGAGTCTTTTATAATAAAGTGTGAGAATGTGAAGGTAAAAGATTCTCATATTTGTGAAATGAGAAATCTTACAAGGACTTATAAGAGGTTGAGCTACTCTCCGTATTGTTATTTGCTTGTTTCGTCGGGCTACTCTCTGTATTGCCATTTGCTCATTTTGTCGTGACAGTTTCTTAGCTTTGATACCATAAAGGAGAAATATTCACACATAAGTTACTGATGCTCAACTTAGAAGTTTGTATGTTTGTATTTATAGAGACAGTTTACATCAATGAGTTACAAGAAAAACTTATCACAAATAACAATTCTATAAATCCCCAAATATTGGAGATAATACAAGAGAGTATATTAGAGCAGTGGCATCTTTAGTGAAGGAGTCATAGCAAACAACCTTGAGGACAAGGATTGGAAACTTAGGCCATCTCCAACTGAATGAGGGCCGAAAGGCTCCCTTTAACCTTATAGACCAGCAAGAAATTATATTTTAATGAACAGTGTCATACCATATTTTATACCATCTCCAACCGAGGGGGCCAAACATAGCCTTTGACAAAAAACAATCTCCAACAAAAGGGGCCAAAGGGCCGTAGACCAAACATAATTTATTATTTTAATTAAATTAATATGGTAACTTAAATTAAATTACCATATTAAAATAAGGTTTTCGGACATATGGTTACTTAAATTAAATTTTCATATTAAAATAAGGTTTTCGGACATATTTTAAGTGTCACTTGTTGCCAAATGAATAAATCTCTGGATTTCTTATCTTTATATAATCTCAAAAAAAATTTGGATAAGATTTCGAGTGACCCGTGTCGCCAACATGAGTAACTTTTCAGATTTCTTATCTTTATGTAATCTTAATAATTTTTCGGATAAGATTTCAAGTAATTGTCAACATGAGTAACTTTTCAGATTTCTTATCCTTTCAATTAATTGTTTATTTGATTTTCTTCCGATTTTGTGGTTAGTAATATGTGACTTGTCAAATCGAAGTGGACCATTTATCATACATAGATCTTTTATTAATTGGGAATTTTAAAAAAAAAAAAAAACTAGGGTTATTTAATTACTATTGAAATATATGTCATCCCTTACATGAAGATTGAGCAGTTGAATAAACATTATTGAATTATACAATATAACATTTTATTGCCTTTCTTGTATGTATACTCCCATTAGATTTAGCTTTGGCTACCATTTGTTGGTCGCTCACCGTCCGACGATGAACCTGAATATTTATACTTTTGCCCCTGCAACCAGAACATAATATTAAAAGTTAATTTCCATTGCCAATTTGCCATGCATATATAAAGACCATATGAATATAATACAGTAAATAAGGGCGACCCCAACTAAAAAAGCTATCCGCTTTGCAAAAAAGCTGTTTCCTGTTTCTACAACTAAAACAACTAATTTTTTAGTTACAAAGACAAAACAACCCTCACCATGTATATAACACAGTAATAAATTAAATTGTAACTTACCATGATTTTCTTGTCTTCATGAGATGAGACCTGCAAATACAAGGACAAATATGTACCAATTAGTTCATCTACACACATACCATGCATGCAAACTAAAAGAACTCTCTGCTGCAAGAAAACAACATCAATAATCACAGACATGCCATGTCAGTAGTGCATATATGCATGCAGTGTCTGACCTTAGATACGGAAAGTGGCGGAGTGACCGGCTCATCCTCCGGAATGTCATCAGAGTATGTATCATCATCAGTTGACGGTGGTGCACCTGGTGGCGACTTGCCGGGCTTTGCCGGTGACTTGGGTGATTTGGGGGGTGATTTTGGTGGTGATTTGGGTCCTTTTGATGATGGCGACTTGGGTGCTTTTGGTGATGGCTTGGGTTTCGTAGGTGATGGCTGAAACCATATATTAAATAAATGCTCAATATTCCTCCAATAATTAGTTTCCATAGAGAAGTGCAACACAAATACATCACAAAACTAAAACTACATCTAAACCCAATTATTTATTTCAAGATACATGATCTGATTCAGTTTTTGGTGCGTAAGTTATTTTTAGTTTGAGTCTACTATTATTTGAACTATATTTACTAATTATATTGTTGATCAACTTTTTAAACATAAGACATGGTCAATACACACACACACACACACACTCCAAAGGGATTCTCAACTTTTAGTAAAACTAGGAACTGGTTGTGGTGTTCATCATACATTGAGCTTCAATGATCCGAACGATTTATTTTTTATGTCTTCATTCATAGATCATTTTTGCAAAAATATCAATTCAATCCGAAATCATTTACTCATTTGATTGTGGTGATGAAACTTTATTGTTTCTTGGAACACTTAGTGTCAATTTCTTCGAACTCAATTAAACTCCTCAAACATTTTTTTGCTAATATTTTGCAAAATAATCTATAAAACGCAACTTGAAAAATATATGATTTGAGTCGTTGACGTTAGATATGAAGTGAGCCCAACAACAAGCCCTCATTTAAAAAAAATTAATTTGTACCTTCTTTGCCTTGAGATCGTCGATACCATCATCGTCCTGAGATGAAACCTACAAAGAGAAGCATGTCAAATTAAGAGTTTGCCAATATAATTACAAAATCAGTGCATAAAACCAGTGTAGATATGGTTAATTACCATTGTAGAAACCAGGAGAACAGTGACGAACAGGAGGAAGATAACTTTGATAGCCATTTTGTTTAGTGAACAGCAGCTCTATGAAGAAACTATAAGGGAGTGAGATGCTTGCAGGAGAGCTACGATGGGGGGGTATAAATAGTGTTCTGAAAGGGTGGAGGGGGAAAATTTTCCATGTCCTTCACTGGTACTGTTTCTCATATTCTTACACATGCATGTGGTGTCACGTGCAATGCCACGAAACCCTAGTCAAATGAAGTCAGTTTCAAGTTTTTATTTTATTTTTTTTAATGATATTATTTAGATTAAGGGAGAAAGGGTAGGCTTAACCTCATAATGGATTAGCAATAATGTGGTTCAAATTTTCTTTTGGCAAAAATCAAATTTAAGTTCTTTCACTTATAAGAAGAGAAATATCAGTAAACCGTAATATTAAGCGGTTTAGTTATCAATAAAATTAGTCCAAAAGCCCATAGAGGAATTGAGGGCCCACCAATTATCCGACGGGCCCGAGTGAAAATTCCACCAGGCCCAAATCTTAAAGCCCTTCGAGACGTTTTTTTAAAAAGAAAAGTCCAATATTTCATTCATTAAAAAAAGGCATTACAACTAAATATCATAAATAACTTGGCTTACAAAGAGTTCTTACAGATTATATCTAAAAATATTATGATAAAATATCACCAATCGCTCAATAATGAGTAGACTTTAAACACTCAGTCTTTATAAATTGTATCTATGATTTTATGATACAACACTTTTTTTTAATTAATATTTATACAAAAATATTGGATATGGAGAAATAGCCTAAATCACACAATTATTCTATCATAATTTAGTACAGAACTCATCATAGAAAATCGAAAATATAAAGATTTTCCGGTCACTATAAATAGGCAAACTGAAGAGAAAAGTATAATGAGTTAAGACTAGGAACAGATCAATTTCTTCTCATATAACCAAAACACAAAAAATTAGTAGTAAGATTCCCTCCCCTCGATATTCTCATCATCTTCCCTCCTCCTTTCTCACATTTTATTTTGTCTTATAATCTTTATAAAAAATTAATATAAAATATTGACGAAACTTAATCGTAAGCTTTTAAGTAGGAGAAAAGGAAAAAAAAATTAGGTGGAGAGAAAAACATTCTCCAAAAATTAGATAGTTGGATAGGGTGGGCATCCGACAAGCACGACATGTTATTCATTAGAGTAATTAAGCACTATAAATATTGTTACCAAATCTTCAAAAGTACAGTAATATATAATATCATCCGCTACATGACATTTGAAATTTAAAACCCTAGGGCCATACTAGTACTAATAATAAATAATTATCCAATCCATTACACATGCGGTAAGCAGTAGAAATTAGAAAGGACAGGAAGAAAACCATTTATTTTCCTCTCTCTCTCTCTCTCTCTCTATTAAATTCAAGGGCACTTGCTTCTGTTGCCATGGGTGACCATATCGGTGTAGCACTTGCCGCATCTTTCCCGGTTGCCGAATGTTCCCGGAGGAACGCAGCGGCAGCGGTCGCAGCACGTCGTGCAAGCTCTCATGCACACCCTCTTCCTTGAATGCAGCATGCACCTCTTGTCACACAGTGGGATGCAATCTGCCCACCAAAATGACAAAACAATTTTAATCACAAATTAACCGACATTTAGGGTTTTCAATTACATTATAGTCCGTGAAAAAGTTCACGAGTTATATTTTTGTCCGTGAACTTGTTTACGAGTTACATGTGACGTCTTAAAGTTCTACCTTAAATTAAATTCAGTCGAGGGACCAAAATATAATGGGGAATATAGAACGTATATCATTTTGTAATGAGTATAAGGTTAAGGGTTTACTTAGATTAGTAATGGACATAAATTTCACTTCTCTATGGCAGTGAGAAGAATATTTACCTGCTTTGGACCTAACCGGGGGAAGCGGTGGATAAGTGGGTGGCTTCACTGGGGGACTGACAGGACTTGGTGGATTCACTGGGGGGATGACCGGAGTTGGTGGCTTCACTGGTGGGATGACAGGAGTTGGCTTGGTATACGGAGGAGATGGTGGCTTGGCAAGCGGAGGAGATGGTGGCTTGGTAAGTGGAGGAGCAGGTGGCTTGTAAATTGGTGGTGATGGCTTGGTAAGTGGTGGAGTTGGTGGCTTGGTAAGTGGTGGAGTTGGTGGCTTGGCAAGGGGAGGAGTAGGGAGCTTGTGAATTGGTGGTGATGGCTTGGTAAGTGGTGGAGTTGGTGGCTTGGTGGCTGTGGGGGTGGTGGGGGCAAGGAGGAGTAGGGAGCTTGTGAATTGGTGGTGATGGCTTGGTAAGTGGTGGAGTTGGCGGCTTGGCAATTGGTGGAGTGGGTGGTTTGGCCACAAGAGGCGGCGGCGCTGGAGCCTTGGATAGAGGTGGTGGAGCTGTTGCCTTGACATAATTAATCTGAAATTAATTAATTTCACAACAATTAAGGTCATAATTTCTACCAAAGATTGAACTCTTTGGTTAGTTCCAGTCCCTGTAGATGTAAAAATTAGTTTTTACCACACTGTTTAAAGTATATAATTAAAAGTACCTTAATCTTGAGTTCGTCATGATGATCAAGTGATGAAGCCTACAAGACCAAGGGTACCATTCCAATTTAGACACCCAAATAAATGGGAAATTAAACCAAATAATAATACTAATTAATAAAAATGAAGATAATTACGTACCCTCGCAGTGAAAAGGAGAATGGTTGCAAAGAGAAGGAGCATGCCTTTGGAAGCCATTGCAAAACAGCTGGAAAAGTCAAGAGCTAGAAGGAAAGTACCGGGGCAGTGATGATTCTAGGAGCAGGGATATGGTATAAATAGTTTTGAAATGTAGGGACTGGTCCACTGCAGGAGGCAGCAGAGAAACACTTACCTACTACATCAGATGAGTTACTGTATCGATATCTCAAGTTAATAACGCAATATCACATGTGAAAATTGAAATTTATAAATATTATATCATTGGTTAAGAATGTCATATTTCCAAGCATCTCCCAAACAAAAAGAGAGGCAAAAAGAACCGCGTTCATTAGGGTTTATCTTAAATCTTACAAGCTCTTGTATGCCTTAATAGTTTGGGATTATGTCTCATCAATAGAACGAGTACATCATTATATATGTATCTCAATTATACATTATTATTTAAAATAACAATAATACGTAATTAATTTAAAATACTGTCATAATATATCGAGTTTGAAATACTGTAATAATATATCGAGAATATAATAGGTAAATATCTATTGCTAGATTGGACAAGGCCATGATATGCCAGCTGCATGATGAAATGTGATCACATTTTCACAGCGAGCCAAGTTAGCTTGCTGTCCCGAAATCTGACTCGAGAGTTCGACCCACCTTCCCCTGTCCACTAAAGTACTATTATGTACCTATATCTATTTTTACATTTTTTTTCGTCTTCTCACATCACAGTGTGCGTCATCCCAAGTCAATGGTTTAATATTTTATATAATGATTTGAATAAAAAATTTAAATATCAACTGTTAATTTACAAAATAAAATTTAAATATATAATATCTTTAGCAACCATAAATTAATATCCTCCACACAAGGCCTGCACATAAAAACTTGAAACGAAAATTGCGTGGTATTGTTTTTACGAATGTAACCTTCATACAATATTTTTAGCATGTTAAATACCTCTTTTTATTTATTGTCATTGGATTTAATAAGTTAAAAACAAAGTCGATGGTCAAAATTACATATAGTGCGTGAGAGACTAAAAAAATATGTAAAAATTATTTTTTTTAGGGAACTTTAACGAAAAGTTTCAAATATTGTTTACTTTAACGAAAATCATATTTTTATACTAAAAAGTCAATCATAGTACTATTCACTTTATCCTTTATTTTGTTCTTATCGTTAAAACTCAAAGTTTTCAAACTCTTTTATTTAATTTTCCATTTTTTTTTATAGTCTGTCGGAGACTTGGAGTATGACCTTGACATGTTTTAAAACAGTCAATAATACAAATTTGAAAATCTAACTGTTAGAAATTTCAAATTGTAAGCAGATCCTATATTAATAGGCAGATGATACAAAATGTGATTTCAAAAATAGGAAAACTAATGAAAAAAATTTAAAAACTTTAAGTTCTAACGATAAAGACAAAATAAAAGGTAAAATGAATAGTACTAAGATTGATTTTTTAGTGTAAAAATATGATTTTTTATTAAAATAAACAGTACCGAAAGCTTTTCGTTAAAATTCTTATAAAAAATATGAGATAAAAATAGTATTACTCAGTTAATCTAAATCTAAAATTTGATACTTGAACTTGTTAGGTTTAATTGAAAGAACACAGTTGGTTTTCTTTTCTTTTTTGGGCTCGTAACTTTCTTTTGAGCACAGCTGGTTTTGTTAAAAAGATCCAACGATCGAATTGACCGATCACAGTAAAATTGATTCAACAACTCTAGGAATCATGGATTACAACTGGTTTCATTTAGACCAATTGATGACAACAACAGGTTTCAAGTGCAGGCGACTGAGAATATATTATTTCGCTTATGGTATGTTATTTAAACTAGAGATTTTTTTTTTCATAAACGATATTATTTACACCAAAAAATATGGAAAAGTGTGTTAAACTTCATATTGAACTAACCATAATAATATAGTTCAAATTCGCTTCCGACGAAAATCGAACCTAAGATCTTTCATTTACAAGTGAAGAGAAATATCATTAGACTGTAGTACTAAGTGATGTCCCGAGCTATTAATTCAATGCCATGTATTTGACTATCTCTATATTTTATTTTTATTTTTAAACAATCAATATTGTCCATACTAAGAGGATGAGGGAGTGATTTAAGTCTTATATTGGACTAGTTATAATAATGTAGTTCAAACTCACATTACATTATAATTGAATTTAAAATATCACTTACAAGTAAAAAAGAATATCATTAAATTGTAATACTAAATGGCATTTCTATATATGCTTATACTAATGTTGAAAAATATTATAACAACGGTGAACTCATTCTATTTAAATTTTTTCAGTAGCATAAAAGCATGCACTGTACAAGACTAAACCCGAAACCGAATTAGGTTTCACAGCAACGTGTATTGGAGGGCCCTCATATATATGTGCATGCTAAAAGAACCCTAATTATTATTAGGAAAATTAATGAAAAATGGTTGAAAATTTTGAGCTTTAAGGAACAAAATAAAAGGTAAAGTGAATAGTATCATAATTGATTTTTTAATGTAAAAATATGATTTTTCGTTAAAGTAAACAATACCAAGAGCTTTTCGTTAAAGTTCCATTATTATTTGATCTTTTTCGTAAGATCTCTGAAAATGTTAGCCAAGTTGCATATGTAAACAAAGACATGGTGTTTCCCAAAAAAAAAAACGTGGTAATCGATGTTATCTGCAAGGTAATGCATGCAGTCCACTTGGAGAAAGTTTTAATTGTGATATGAATACGGATGATATATCATGTGTTTTTATGTAAATGATAAAATATTTTATTTTTTAAGTTATTAATTTTTTAACACACATATTTTATCATTTGTATAATTACACGTGATATACTATGTCGTCTAACAATCACACTGAAAAATCTCTGAACTCCTCGAACGAAACGTTAATGGCTACACGCAACATAGAAGGTTAATGGACCAACTATTCACCTTCTGCAAACATCACACACGATTTAAAACCCTAGACAGTTAAACCCAGCTGTATACTGTAGGGACAATTACTTTTCTTTTTACATTTGGCAGAGAGGATAGCGTTATAAAATTATAATTATATCACACTTCCCAAAAACTTTGAATTCATATAGAATTGATGGTAATTCTCTGCCGATGGATTTTTCTTGTCAATAGGAACTTCACTCCGAAAAAGAAATGCCAAAAGACCCATCATCATCGTCAATCATGCATGCATGTTCATGCAGCACTTCAGGAAATGACATGACATCTCTCTATCAATCAAAATTGACATGATCTCTCTCTCTCTCTCTGTGTCGGCATTGCAGGTGCAGTAGTGCACAGTTCATAATCTAGGGCCAACCTGTAAAACGCAAACATACAAATATGTACGGATGAAATTATTATGTGAAAACGGCCTTGCCTGTACGTAAAGTAGGTAAAGTGGAAGACTCCAACTCAACGAGCGTGCGTGGTTTAAGTCCATATGTTTTTCCAGAAATTCTTAGTTGCTTCGGAATATGAAATAACTTGTGTCTTTAACCGTCAAGTTTTGATATTCCGTAAATGGGATACTCCGTAAAAAATCTCATGTTTTACATATGGAGAGCTCAGGGGTCAGAACTGAAAGTGCAAGTAATCCATGTCGTGCATAAGTTCATAACACGAAACAAGCTAAACGGGTTAATACAGACAACCAAAATGAATCATGTGTGCTTGCCTTGGAATATCTTGGTTATAACCGGGGTAAGCATTTCACGCTCATGTTGTATGCAGGGGCTACACGAATGCAATTCAGCAATTGTCTGTCCTACATCTGAATATATCACTTAGGGGTGGTTTGGGAGTGAGGTACTGAAAAAAAAAGCACTCATGAAAAAAAGCTGTGAGGGTTTTAGGTGTTTGGTAAACTGAAAAAAAAAAGGCTTATTTTGGAAGCTGCTGTGAGAATAAGCTGAAATCAAAGGAAAAAGCTGAAGCTACTATTTGCAGCTTTGGAAAACTGGCTTTTTTTCAAAGTACACAGAGCTACAGTACTCCTTTAATGAAAAGATCCACTATCAGATTGCTTTTTTTTTTTCCAAAAACACTTTTACAAAAAAGTTTACCAAACACTCTGCTGATTTATTTCACAGCCACTTATTCTCACAGCACATCCACTTATTCTCACAGCAGCTTTTTTTCAAAGCACAGCAATACCAAACCAGCCCTTAGTGTGTTGAGGGAAATGGTAGTCAGTTTTGGAAATTTTTTTTTTTTTTTTTTTTAACATTTGGTTATTTAGTTTGGAAGAAGGGATAAGCTAGTAGCTTTGCTACAGTAACCTATATTTTTGAAGGTCGAAAAGACTTGTGGAAACATTTAATTGTTAAATAATCAAAATAAAACCGAAATCTGAATTATAAGCCGCATTTCACATTGCTCTCTAAGTTTTATTTGGATTATATGATCCTCTTGAACTTTCATTTCATGGTAGTGTCCCTTTAGTCCATTCAATTAGTTCGTCAAATTTATGGACCGTTTTTCGTCATTTTGGACAATTGTAAGTGTTTCAATTTCTTGAATTTGTTCGGGTACATTAGCACGAACTGAAAATTCAATGAAACCTGCAATCAAATAGAAATTTAGAAGGCAAAGTATAACAAAGTCTACAATTCAAGGGGCATTGCTTAGTTTTTTCCTAAGCTCTTAGGGTCAGTAGGGTATGTCCGGCCCTAAACGGACGGGTAACAAATCACCTTGCGTGATCAAAACAAGAACAATGATTTTTTTATTTTTTTTTTGGTTTTTTGGAGGTTCCAAAAAATGTTGTTTATCCAACCTTTCAAAAATACAATTTCCATCCTTCTTCACTAACTACAAAAGTACAAAATATGGATCCGAGTAAAGAGCTTCAACAATATATTTTTCTCGTTTTTTTTTCTTTTTACCTCAAATTTCTGAAATCCTAAATAAGCGGCGTTACAAGATTCAGACAGCTGCAGCAACTTCTTCTTCTTCATCAAAGCTCAAATTTAACGTTTGTAGCTTAAACCCCGAACTCTGTATGGTCTCCACCAAACTCGAAGCCACCCCGGTAGCTTGTACCGTCGTTTGTTTCGTCAACTGGAAACAAGAGAAAAAATTATTAACCTATAATCCGCATTACAACCCAATTGCATCTCACAGAAACTAAAACTCCCCGAAAACGGATACAAAGTGTTCAAAGTACATAGAAATTTGATGAAAATAAAGCACTGAGCCGATGGTAAACATTATCTTTGGCAAGTCGATGTATAATAATATACTAATCTAATCTATGGTCATGGGAAAGCAGATTTGAACTTGTTTGTTACAAGACCCAAGATGGGAATTTTCATACGCACCTCAACAGTTGCAATACCCTCAATGACTTCAACCTTTAAGTTGGTAATACCTTGAGTTTCCTGCGACAAAATCCATGACTTGTAAGAAATTACGAAGACGAATCCGGCATCTGATTCAGAATTTCGACATCTGCATTACAAAAAAAATGTAGCTACCTCAAAGGCTTTGCTTACTGATGGGATAGCTGCATCACTCAGTGTTACATCAACGTTTGAATCTTGCTCTCTTCCCATATTAGGGTTCGTTTGAAAGGGCTTTTAAAATGATTAAAAGTGTTTTTAGTGAAATTGATTTTGGATCCAAAAAACGCTTTCAGTCATTTTAAAAAACACTTCCAAAAGAGCCCTTAAATTATAAATACACATATAACAAAATCGCATATGAGCAAAAGTGCTTCCAACATCAGCACTCTCAAACGAGCCTTATATTAGCAATAAGTTTTGGGTTCCAAAATGAGCACTGAAAACTTTACATCAAGGAGTGCTTTGTTCCATGAGAAGTTCGAAACATCTTTTACCCAACAGAATCTGATTGCATATGTTTAAACAAGTTCGAATCTAATGGACTAATTCTTTCGGCTTACAAAACGACGCCTTCCCCTTCCCAGCATTTTGTTTGAGCTACTTCCCATTCCAATCCACTTCAACTTGTCCATCTGTTCAAGCATAAGATCCAAGCAGTTCGAATAAATGAAACCATAAACCATCAAAACCTGACGAATTTGGTACATTTGGAAGCCACTCACCTCGAAGATTTATTGCTCGGTTTGCTTGAACATCAGCCTCAGAATTGTATTCCTGCAACAAATAGCAGAACGCGTCACTTTCGAAAGAGCAATTTTTCATCCGTTCTCATGTTCTCCTCAAAAACGAGTTCTTCGACTAGTGAAGATTTATCACATAAGTATTACTTTACACAATTTTCTTCTACCATGACTGAACTTACCCTAAGAACATGATTGATCTCAAATGACATAAACTTGTCTTTGAGCTCCTTGGCCACTTCACACAGGTCAGCCATGTTCTGATTTTTCGTTTTCCAGAGACCTTGAACCTGTTTTATCAGAGACAGAAAGCATCGTAAAGCTTAAGGACACACAAATATGAAATAATTAAGGAAACAGGGTAAGGCGAAGAAAACGAAGAACTTTAAAAACTCATAGTGCTATAACATCCACCAAGCTACGAACCTGCATGCAGACAAGTTTAGAGTCTCCTTTAACACGAATGTGTTTATATCCTTTCTCAAGAGCATATTTCAATCCCAGAATTACAGCTCGATATTCTGCAACGTTATTTGTTGCAATTCCCACCCCTTCACGCAAACGGTACACCTATAAAACCCAACCATATAATTAAAGGGCTAGAATTTACAAAAAATATGCTGCAAAAGGAACTAAATTGTTTCAATGAAGTGCATACAGCGCTTCCGTCTTCAGCTCGTAGGACAGCCCCTGCACCAGCTAGTCCAGGATTTCCTTTTGAAGCACCATCAAACTCAAGTATACAGGTTTGCTGAAAAAAGACAGGTCACAAACATTTTTCAAATCTTCACTTATAATAACCCACAACAATGTGATACGACACATTTGAATTCACAAATAAAACTTACACAAAAAGAAGAAATTCCAAGATTTTCAATGTGGTTATCCGGTGTGAAATGCCTCCTCTGAGATATCGGGAATGGAGTAGATCCAATCATGTCCTGCAATCTCTTAGGTGGTGAGTCCTTGGCAGCTGATTTTACTATAGAAGAATCTGGCTGCTGAAAAATTATGAATATGCACAAGTAGAAACATAGGTAGATTAAGTTTACTATAAAGTATTACTGGATGCGATCGATGGAAACTTACACAACTAGATGAATTTGCAACAGCTTCAGTTTGAATATCAGATTTGAAATGCTTTCTCTGAGTCTGAGAGTTCGGGAATGCAGTAGCCCCAACCGCCTCATGTGATCTCTTTGGCGGTGAGTCATTGGCAGGCGAATCTGGCTGCTGAAATTTATGAACATGCCCAATTACACAATCAGTGACCAAATACAAGATTGTCTACGATAAGATACCCATATCCACGCCACCACATGCCATGGAAAAAAGAAGAGCAAATCATCAAACATTCAAACCTGGATAGGGCAAGCAACGAGTTTTCCGAAAAGAGCGTCATCTTTCACATCACTGGCACTGATAGTATAAGAAGCATTCTTAAGGCCGTGGGAGACAAGGTACTCCTCAGCCTCCTTCGGCAAACAGTGGCCTTCGAACACACTTACAGAAGGATTGCATACCTAAAAAGCAAAACAAAACCTCATATGCATAGTAACTTCTTACAAAAGCACTTTTTTATTAATCTCTAGAAGCATATTTACACCACAAACCGTAACTAGAAGCAGAAATCTCTCACTACCACCAGAAAGCACAAGACTTTTAACAAAAGATACACCATAACCAAACAATGCAGCAACAAATTACGGTTATTTTAACAAATTAAAGAAAACCCAATTGAAAAATCAACTAGGTTAGCCAAAATTGATCACAAATTGGGAAAAATCAAAGAAAAATCAGCACAAGCTTTCTATAACATTGATAAAAGGGTGGTAAAAATTTACCGAAGAACCGGCTTGGTTTTGGCAATCCGTGAAGTTTTTGTAAATGCCAATAACGTCGCCTTTCCGAACAACGTAAAAAGCATCACCTTCTTCCGCCATTGAAGCTCCAACTTCTAGCTTTCAAAACCCACCACCGCAATTTCCCCTCAAAAAGTTCAAGAATTTAGACAATGCAAACAACGACGATGAAAACCCTAAATATTAATAAGGGAAAATGCTGAGTTGCGGAGCATGAATTTGCTTTGAGGCGAAGGAAAGTTTGAATTTTGAAAAATCGAATGATGGAGACGCCTCCACACGTCGAGTCTGGTAGTGACTCTTTCGGTAAAGTTTACTTGAAAGTAGAAAGGAAGAAACGCCAATGGGCCTCATGGGTCGAGCTATGGCTGAGGACACGGGCTTAGGGCCCAACGTGATTTTTCCTCGGTACTGAGTTTTTTTTGTCAGACGATATATTTTGATAGATTAAATGTTAGGTTAGCCATTGGTATGGAGTTCAAACTAATGCCGTGGTGCAAAGGAAAATGAAGGGAATGTACGAAATAAAAACTTGAAAATGAAAAAAAAAAATCTTGATAATTTGATGATCAAGGTTTGTCAAACGAGCTCTAAAGACTAAAACAAAACAATATCAAACGACTCTAAATTGATTGAATATTGACCATTAGTTTGATTATTTGAAATGAAAAGTACTTACCACTTCTAGAGTGTAATTCTTCTACGTAAATAAATCAAAGATTTGAGTATATAGAAACTTACATGTGGTCCAATATCTAGTGAATAGGGGGTTGATTTATTTGATATATTTGGATGACTAAACGATAACTAATCCAAATGATTTTTGTAAAGATAGTCTTCAAATAAATATTAAGAGATTGAACAGTCCCGATTATGAAAAATCTACATTAAATATACGTTATTTGCAAGTGGGGGAATGAGCTTATCCCCCATGAAGGGAACGTAAGCATTATCCTTTTAGTTATTTACTTTTGTATATATGTCCGACTTCGATTAATAGAAATTTAGAAACTAATGAAACAAAAATTATTCACCAGCAGGTGAAATAACCTGACCTAATAAGAAAATCTCAACTCACTATGTCCTTTGATACAATCAAATAGATTGCTACAAGAACATTTAATTCGTATCGTAAGGAGTCGAGCAGTGTCAATTTGAAATAACTCCAAACTAGGTAGGACTGTTCACTGTAGGAGGATGACCGAGGTGTCTCAATTCTTAGCTGTGGGCACGTCAAGTGTTCTCACAGATTCATTTTAGTTGCCACCAGATGCAGACATGTTAACATGTCACATCTGCACATGTTCCCCTTGATTGCCTGCACCTCCTACATATCCGTCTACATCTAACAGCTAATACAGTGCTCAATCTGTGCACAGATGGCATATAAACGTTTCAGAAATGAACATCGTCTTGGTTTCGAATCTCCGTTATAATTTACGCAACATAAATCCGATTCTGGCTCGAATTTAGGTAACACAATATGTTTCTTTTATAAACTACTATGTTTGGTACATTTTGTTTCTCGGTTGTTTGTTGAGCTGGTTAAGTTTAGTGTGTGTTTTTAAAGTTTTAGTGATGATTTTCGCTCCCTTTCCTTTATGCTTTCGTAAATCAATAAATCAGAAAGCGGAACGTATATGAGCAAGAAGAGGAAGTGTAAACGGACGCAAAGAGAGTGTTAAAAGCGGAGATTCATAAAACAATAAAAAATAACTGAGTTGTTTATACTTGATTGTCAATACTTCATACACCGGTGACATATACCATTGTACAATTAACTCATTTCTTATACCTTCTAACAAAACGGAAAATATTTCTACATGTAAAAATGAATTCAACTTTTACACACCATCTAATGCAGCGATCCGTCCCACACAATAATTTCTCATTTGTAATTAGGGTTCATCATAGCTGTAAAAAAAAATAACTATGGGAAAAAAATATTGCACTTGTTTTAGGTTTTTTTAGCCCATCTGCTCACCTATTAAGTCCAACCCTACAGCAAGAAATGACAAGCCTTGGAAAAGCAAGAAGTAGAAGTGAACTCCATGAGCAGATAAGAAGCTTCTGGCTGCTGCAGTGAGCAGCAAGAAAGCAAGAGCAAGCTCTTTCCTGTATATCCCGTTCTTCTTCTTTTTCTTCGGAGCTACTACTTCTTGTTCCTTGAGTTTGCTTAACAATGCTAGACCCGACTCGGAGTTCCTCCTCAGGATCTTCTCTTCGCTCGCAGACATCGATTCCCTCTCAGCATAGGCTAGCAAATCCGACTCAGATGATCTTCCGGTCTTCTTTGTCACCACCCACTCGTAAGAACTTCCGAGCTGAAATAGCCCCGAGACCATGGCGTTGAATTTTGTGACGGACATTGTGTTCTCGAAGAGCAGGTAGGGGACCAAGAAAGGGAAGGATTTCGGGGACGGGAGGATGTTTAGAAAGGACATGAAAATCGGAATGTAGCAGATTACCCAAAGAGGAAGTTCAGCCTCGGGTAAGAACATGGTCAGTGGAAGTATGATACAAAACAATGTGAATGAGTAGAAGGGAAGAATTAGCTTCCTCAACAGAAAGAAAAGAAATATCAAGTTTGATTTCTTCCAAATCGATATCTGCACGAAATTCACATAATTTAGGAAGATTAGAACGCGATACATAAACATACAATTCAAGCGTTTCTTTGGAAGCAATCAATCGAACAAAGTTGAACGATGAAATCTGTACCTTGGAAGTCAAGATAGCAGGAAGACACAATCTGAAGAGCTGCATTGGCCCCGAATGCCAACGGTGCTGCTGCTTCTTATAAGTTTCATAAGACTCTGGCAATTCACAGAGGACTCTGACATCATTGAGGAAGATCATTTTCCATCCGTTCAAGTGTGCTCGAACGGCAATGTCCATGTCCTCAACGGTTGTTCTCTCCAGCCAGCCTCCTGATTCTTCCAAAGCCTTGATTCTCCAAACTCCCGCAGTCCCATTGAATCCAAAGAAATTGAGAAACACTCCATTCACTTGCTGTTCCACTTCAAAATGGAAGCACAAATTGATGTTTTGAAGCCTTGTGAGTAAGTTCTCGTCCTTGTTCACGAAAGACCATCGAGCCTGGACAAGTCCTAGTTCCGGATTTCCCTGTGACAAAGTCTCAGGATCGTTAGTCCAAAGTTCGACCCCCTTCAATGTAACAATAAAAACAAGATCAATAAGGAAGATGTCCTCACCTTGAAATGAGGAACTGTAAGCTTAAGGTAATCAGAATTCGGAGTGAAATCAGCATCGAAAATTGCCACAAACTCATAGTCTTTGACATAATCACAACCCATAGCGGACTTAAGGTTGCCGGCTTTGTAGCCTGTTCTGATCAACCGATGTCTGTAGATTATGTTTACACCTTTCTGATGCCACAACGAGACTTCGTCTTTGATCAAATTCTGCAAATTTATATCATCTGAGTCATCTAGAACCTGAATCAAAAGTCTGTCTCTTGGCCAATCCATCTGGCATGCAGATGCAATTGCTTGCTCATACACCTACAAGTTAGGAAAGATATAGATAAGCAATAGAAGAAGGCTTCAAATAATTGGAATTGAACGAAAGCAGAATACCAAAAGGTAATATAAAGTTGAGGCAGAACCAATGGCAGAATGGATCGAAGAACAGCTTGAAAGACGTTAGTCCATAAACATCAAAATCGAGGCTTTGCAAGTTCAACCCGCAAAGCCTAAATTTTGATATTCCTTAAGTTATGCCCATCAAATAGTTCTTCGATCCATTCCGTCATCTGTTCTAACAACAAATGTCAATTGACTTGGAAATACAACCCAAAAAAGGTATATTGAGTTTTTCGCAGAACAAGTGGCCGAATGAGTTGAGAGCAACTTGACATGCATAAGTTCATAACAAGCAAAACCCGGGCTTTGAAGGTTCGAGGTCCGAGCTTGGAATTGGGCCCCATAATCCACTATCAACCTGCAATGCCTAAATTTTGTTGTTTCTAAACTTACGCCTATCAAGTATCAAGTTGCTCTTCAATTCACTCCGTTATCTGATCTAAATCCGATAACAAATGCCAATTGCCAACAGACAGAAAAAGTAAGAAGTGAAAAGAAATTCAATGAGCTAGATTGCTCTGTTACCTCTCTCTCATTGCACATAGGGATCTGAATAAGCACCATTGGAAAACTAGAAGGATCTTCAATGTCAAAAGCATCTTCTGCAATTGTTGGCTTTATCTTCTTGTACTTGATCCAGAAGCATCCAACACACAAAACCAATCGATCAAAAGATTGAATCAGAAAAAGCACAACGCAGAAGTTGGACATCATGATAGCCGTAGGGGCAATATAGTCAACTCTGAAAGTCAACCAAACCATGTAGCACCACTGCACCAGACCCTGCACCTCCCATGGCTGATACAAATTCAAATTCCAGTTCTTGTAATGCGCAACTACTTCCATGACTAGAGCCAAAATCGACAACCCGAGGAAGACTTTGATGAATTTGTACAGCCTTCCTCGGGTTTTTGGCTCTTCGTCGGTCAAGTCAGACCGCGAAATGCGCTTTTTAAGCGAAAGGAACATTCCACTCAGCGCCATTGGCAGCCATGAGAGGCAGGCGAATACTCTGTTCACTTTAAGGAGAAGAACCCATGTGAATTGCTTGGTGCTCACGGCTTTCTGTTTCTCCAGAAAGGCTGAGGAATCCAAAAGATTGTGCTTCAATGACGGGTTTTCGGGCTTTTCGATTGTGACCACGACTGTGCTCGGAGCCATTGCTTGGGAATCCGATTCCCACAGAAAAAAAACAGAGGAACAGGAAACAAATACTCTGCCAATGAGTCAAAGATCAAATTTTTAAGCTGAAGATTTATTGGGTTTTCAGATATGGGAAGAACCCATGAAAGTTTTCAACTTTTTATGCAGTTTCCACTGAAATCTGGATCTTCGAAATATTGAATTCTAGAGAGAGGTGAGAGAGTATGAACTCTCCTGAGCTGCTGTGAATAACAAAGGAACCAGGAGAGAGAGATATAAATTCCTTTTGATCAATAAGAAATGGAACGTTCAGGCTAGTTTCTTAATTATATATTTATATCGCCAATGATAGTCAAGCACAGTAAATTAAGCTTAGTCAATGTAAATTGGCACCCAAACCTTTGAAATTTTTTTTTAAGATGTTTGAATCTCGTTTAATTTGGTTTTATGAGGAACAATAAGTCCTGACGCGCAAGAATCTTGGGTTGTCCGTTTATGATGACAGCCAGGTTACAACCAGATGGCAGATCACAACC